ATGGCTTGCTTTTTTAACTTTGTTAGGCAGGACAGTGCAACTGTTAGTTTTGGAAAATACCCTTCTGAGAACTTTACAAGATGCCCACGTAGTACAAGGTGGTTGTTTTTCACTCCAGCTGGTGGAAACACAAACTATTTCTGGCCCTATGTGGGCTCCAGGGATTGTGCTGCCCCTTTCTCATGGTTCTCTCCCCAACTCCAAATGCTTTTCTCACGTGTATATGCTGATCCATACTCAGCTGCAGCCTTGAGAACCTTCTGCAGGTCCCCAGAGCAGAGCATGCTCTCTCCATCTTTCCTCCCGCCCTCCCTCCTGCCCTGTGCAGCACTCTCTTCTCTGGTACTCTGCCCTGTGAATTCCAGTTACATTGGCCTCCCTGCATTTTCCCCTCTGCCTTCTCAATTCAGGGAGACCACTGGGATCTACTTGGGTTCCTCCTCCCTCACTGTGTCCTGGAAACTCTCTCCAGGCAGTAAGCTAGGGCAATGAGAATGCCCATCTTGTTTCCCTTCTTATGGGACTTACTCTGCTACACTACATAGTGTTAAATGTCTACAAAACATTTTGTATACAGTATATATTTTGTTGTCTCAGGTGAGAGGGTAAAACTGGCCCCTATTACTCCATCATTGTTAAAATGTTTCACTTGGGGTTTTAATTAGAATTGATAGGGAAAATTGACATTTCATTATTGAGTCTTTCCTTTTAGGAACATGGTATATTAATTTACTTGGGCCTTCTTTCAGTTTCTCCAGTGGATTTTGTGATCTTCCACATTCATACTGACCTTGTATTCAAAGGCCCCAATATAAGCTATTTAATTCCTCTCTTATAGCATCTTTTTAGACCCTGTAGCAGTAACTCAGGGATTGTGTAAAGACGACCCTGGGGCTTCTACTTTGAGTGTCTCCTAGATCCATCCTGTTCCTCCCACCTGTGTAGATCAGGAGAGGGCCTGTGACTGGATCTCAACTGTTGACTTAGTTCCCGATCCCTCTTTCACGATGGTAGAGCAGGGTTCAGCAGCTCTGGACTGGGGCCTGGAGTCTGGATGAAAGAACCCTAGAAGCACCCCTCACAGAACCTCACAGAAATCAGCTTAGAGCTTTTTCATTTTGGCATGGCTTACTTGAAGCTTTTTTTCTCATTTCATTTATGGTTGGGCATGGATGAACTCTGAGGAGTAAACCCTAGAGATCTAACTACTGGACAGGCCTCCTGGGGGTGCTGTCATCTCTGCCTGGTTGTGGAGTCCCTCCACCTACCTTATTTATACTCTGGGTCTCTTCTTTAATAGATGGTTACTCATTCACAGAAAAAAATTATCTCTAATATCATCTCTGGGGTAAACAGGCATTCGTGAGCTAGTTAGGGAAGTTGGGGATGTGTTTTCTAAATATCAAACAGCAAATTTAGAAGCAGACTTGGAACATAATCCCTTCCTAAGTTGGGAACTGTCTGTTCTTATGAAATCCATCTCTTGCCATAATGAGTAATAAACTGAGGAGAGCTTAACTGACTACCGTTCACACTAGATGGGTAAACACACATTTTAAGTAATGAGTTGGTTAATTATAGCTGTGCCATGTTTATAGATCTTCGCTTAATCTCCTGAGTATATAAATCCATCACCTACAGCGACTCACAGCTTCTGAGCAGAACTTTTCAGAGGTCAGGCTCCTCCATTAACTCAAAATACATGTCTTAAGAATCAAAGAAAGGCTCTGGCTGGTGCGGCTCAGTGGTTAGAGTGTCATCCGTGCACCAGAGGGTTTCGGGTTGGATTCCTAGTCAGGGCACATGCTCAGGATGCCGGTTTGATCTCCGGTCAGGGTGTATATAGGAGGCAACCTGTCGATGTTTCTCTCTTTCTCTCTCTCCCCCTCCCCCTTCTTCTCTCTAGAATCAATGAAAAAACGTATCCTCAGATGAGGGGTAAAAAATAAAAAAGATTCGAAGGGCGGGGTGGAATTTAGCTTATTTTCATTATACCTGTGTGTGTGTGTTAATTTGTATGAAGAGTCAGAGCAATGATGAGGCAAATAAAGCAGTGGCAGGGAGATTCTTAAGTATTTTACTATACTCACAGAACCCCACCCTTCTACTTAGCCAAACAGTCATATGTATGTAACATCCAAGTCTCTAGAATGTGTTTTTAGACTTCCTGAAACAGTGAGCTCAGTGCCTCACGTGAACCCTGGCCCACTCTCTGACAGCTATATTGGCAAAATGTTAGTCTCACAAAATGCAACACACCCACTCAGGAGCTGCAACCCACCCCAAGTGTGGGTCACACTAGCTCAGGAGCTGAGAGCCTGACTGGGCTGCATTGCTTGGGCTCACCCGTAGACCAATGGTTTGCAACCCTGACGCGCATAAGCATCACCTGCAACACTTTCACAGTCCCATGCCCACTGCAGGCCAAATACATTGGCAGCTCTGTTCTAGATCCTGGGCACTGTTGTTTCTGTTCCCCAGGTCATTCTAATGTACAGCCAGGGTTGAGAACCACAGCTAGAGTGGTGGTGGCCATTGTGCCAATATTCAAAGTATTCATGCAGAGTAGATTTTTAATTTATAATATAAAGCAGTAACTCTTTAGTCTTCCCAAGGATATTTCCAAGTATGGCAAAACTGCCTGTTTCTAGTATTTAGCTTAGGAGGTTACAACCACGGGTGTGTATATGTGTGTGGGGAGTGGGGGCCCAGTAATTCTGCTTCCTACAGAGCTTTTGAATTGTCCCTTCCTCTCTCTGCTGCCACATCCTTAGTTGTGGCTCTCATCTCTCTAGTCTTGCTGGCCCCTCCCCACCTTCCCCTAGCACTGCTCTCATTATTTCTCAAACCCNCCCACCTTCCCCTAGCACTGCTCCCATTATTTCTCAAACCCCAAACATGCCTTTTCTCTCATACCCTCTTCAATGGGTCCCTGCTGTCCCAAAAAATCTGTGTCCTCATCTGGACGCCCAAGGCCTTTCTTGATGAGGCTGGAGAGTCTCCTTGAGTCAAATNCCAAACATGCCTTTTCTCTCATACCCTCTTCAATGGGTCCCTGCTGTCCCGAAAAATCTGTGTCCTCATCTGGACGCCCAAGGCCTTTCATGATGAGGCTGGAGAGAGTCTCCTTGAGTCAAAGNATCTGGACGCCCAAGGCCTTTCTTGATGAGGCTGGAGAGTCTCCTTGAGTCAAATGGCCCTTGTGGGTCCTTGCAGGTCCCTTAACTAGCAGGTGTCTCCAGCTCCTAAGCCTTTGCCTGGACAGCTTGTACCTTACCCCCTCCTGCCAGGAGTCTCCACTTAAGGCTTTTTTTCCAAGTAAAACCTTCTCTGATCTTCCGGCCTCCTGTTCCCACCCCCTAGGTCTTCACTGCCTGTGAAGAGCAATACCTGTATAAGCCTTGTGTATGTCCGGCAGCGAGTGGGTGCTCAAAAAACAAGTAGTGCATGAACAAATACTTTCATTTACTNCTAAGCCTTTGCCTGGACAGCTTGTACCTTACCCCCTCCTGCCAGGAGTCCCCACTTAAGGCTTTTTTTCCAAGTAAAACCTTCTCTGATCTTCCCGCCTCCTGTTCCCACCCCCTAGGTCTTCACTGCCTGTGCCAGAGCAATACCTGTATAAGCCTTGTGTATGTCCGGCAGAGAGTGGGTGCTCAAAAAACAAGTAGTGCATGAACAAATACTTTCATTTACTACACTATCAAAATTTCAAGTCTGTCTTCCCTACTAGATCTGGGCTTTCTCTAAGGGCAGTCGGTAGCATGGTGTATATAACAGAGAAAGCAAAGCATCTGGAGATGAGTTTGGGTTTAAAACTCTGCTCTATCATTTACCAGCTGTAGGATCTTGGGCAAGTTTAAGAGTTTCCCCAGCTACAAAATGGGGGTGACAACTCCTTGAAAGGTTGTGAGGATCAGACATGCTGTGTGTAGACAGTAGGCAAACAAGTGTTTTCCTTGCCTCCAGTTTACTTAGTTTACCAGACACTCTGCAAAACTCATGAGTAACACCCACTAAAAGCTTGTGTTTTGGACTTTATGCTTCCAAATGACCCAGTGGCTGAATTCTATAAAGTTCAACGATTGTCAGGAGATTTGAAAACTTCGTCTCTCCCACCTTAGTCATCTGGGGCACATAAGACCTATTACCTTATTTAATCCCCAATGGCCCTTTGTACTATTATTCCCGTTTCTACAGCCAAGGAAACAGGAGCAAAGAGGCGCAATGGACTTTCTTTTCGGAGAGCCGGGGCGCTCCAGAATCCTGCCTGCGGTCCCGAGGCCCTGGCCTTTGTCCTTGATGCCGTTGCCCTCGCATGGTCTTGTGAGTGCCCGCTTTTAAGTGCAACCACTTAAGTTTTTTGAAATGAAAACCATTGCTCCAATGATAATTGTTTTAAGGGCAAAAGTAATAATAGTTATTGTAGTTAAAAAACAATAGCCTGGCCGGTGTGGCTAAGTTGGCTGAGTGTCACCAGTGCACCAAAGGGTCACCGGTCTGATTCCTGGTCAGGGCACATGCCGGGCTGCAGGCTCGATCCCGGGTGGGGGGAGTGCAGGAGGCAGCCGAGCGGTGTCTCTTTCTCTCCCTCTCCCTTCCAATCTCTCTAAAATCAATACAAACATATTTAAAGAAGCAGAGTCTTTACAGCCCCACAGTTGGAACTGAACAGTGGCTGACTGTCCCAACCTCTCGGACTGGGCTCAGCCTCCGGAAGCCCTGCTCCTTCACCTCTAGCGTAAGAATAAGAATAGTACCTGCCTCGGGGACAGGAGGGTGGCAGCGTCAACAAAGGAACTTCTAGCGCATGTGAAGCGGGGTCCGGCCACGGCCCACGGCCCACGGCCCACGGCCCACGGCCCACGGCCAGCTCGGTGCTCTAGCGCCCTGGAGCTTTGGCCTGTCCTTCAATGTGCTCTACAGGAAAGAACAACAGAGAAACCATTCACCCTTTAACACTTTTGCTCAACTGAGAACTCCAACAACACAAAAAGCACTCAAAGACAAATAAAAAGTAACTTTATTGACTGTTAATCTTACCATGAAATGCCTATAAGAATAATTACAAAATAATGCAGTTTTGTTTTTTTTTACACACTTTTGGTATCATCCCGATATGATCCTTTCACAGAAAGGATTATTTACAGTTTGTGTAGATATAAAGCTCACTGTTGCAAATACAAATGTAGAAGCAATGGGTATTAACAAATGCAGAATAAATAACAGCTTTATACTTTTTTCTTTTCTTTTTTAAAACAATTTCCAAATACAAAAATGTAGGTATTCAAAATGGATTTTCATGTACATATATATAATCCTGCTGCAAACAGTGGATCAAAAAGCAAAGATGCCCTCAGCATGTTTCATTTTGGAAAACCTACAAGACTATTCATCCACCCAATTAGAAAGAAGGCGTGCAAACCACCAACAGTGCTGGCAGAACCCTGAAGACTTGACTCAGGTTGAAGTCGAGAGAAAAGCAAGTATAAAGCGCTACCTAGTAAATAAATTTATGTTTTCTTCTTGATGTTTGCAAGAAACACTGAGAGCAAGGGAAACGCAGCACATTGACCTGGGGGCCCTTTACAGTCCAACTTCACCAGGACTTGTCCCTCCAGCATCTATAGGAAATAGTGGGTTATAATGACTTCTAAGCAAAACTGTCATTAGATGATCCTTTCATACTTTCACCCTTTTATACAGAGACTGAGATACTTTCATACATTCTTATATCTGAAACTTTGGTTCGTTCAAAACATTTGATAGAAGTAAAATAGTTCCATGACCACAAAATTCTATAGAAATTTTTTTTCTCTTACAGTGTCACGTTAGACTGATTGACCAGGCTTGTGCGTGCAACATGGCCCTGCCGCACCCACGTGGGGACACGTGGGGGCAGGACAGGTGGGGCTTGTTCGTGTTCTCCGTGTGTCCGTAATACTGACTCCCATGCATGGGTAACACTGCACATTCTGCTGTGCCCTAAATCTATGTCTTTGTTACCTGAAAACTTAATTTTGTATAAAAATATGACTGTTTCTTTAGAAAATAATATATAGCTGTTTTTTTAATAAAACCTGGTAGGTAGAAAAAATGGTATATCAAAATATGGTAAACAAATGTTTTAAATATGAAATCATTAAAAACAGCTCATAGAAAGTCATTGTGCTAACATTCTCCCCTGGAGAGAGAGCAACATCATCACTGTACATCTAAGGTTCACACGTTCACTCCCTTGGTTTCCTTTATACCTAACAGTAGTGGCAGTAACTGTCTTACAAACAGCCCCTTCTCAAACTCTAACACTTTCTGCTTTTACTTTTAAATTAATAAAAAGACATCCTCTTAATCAGTGGTTTTCAACTCTGCTGCATATCAGCTCCATTTAGGGAACTTTAAAGGAAACGGCAATTCCACCTGGGTCTCACCGCAAGAGGCTCATTTAATTCATTGGAGGTGGGACCCAGACATTATATATTTTTTAAACCTCTCCAAAAAAAAACCTATTATGCAACCAGGGTTGAGAATCACGGCAAAAATCACATGAGAAAATAGTCATTTTTTAACTATGTATGTCAGCTGATTGTCTGTAGGTATCATTCATTCAATGACACATCCTCCATATTAAACAAGACAAACCATGTTTACAAGATAGTCATGGAAGCTTTCAACACATATACACACGCACCATCTCGTGTATTTATATATGTATAATAACATGTGTATAGTTAGGGTATTTTTGGTTAAGCAGAAACTAGCATTACCATAATCTGTTCTTGATTTATTTAAAAAACAACAACACTAAGTACAACGCTAAGTACAAAATGTCTAAGACATTTCCATAGTTTTAACAGAAAACAGTGTTGGAAATTCCACAAAATACATTATGACGTGAACACAACTGAGCTGGAAGAGCAGGCCGACGTGGCACTGACCGGGGGGAGGCATCGCAGCGTGCAGTCTCCCGGGTGCTGCTTCATTCGCGTCTTCGGGGTTACCCTGGGCTGCACTTCTGTTCTGTACGTCTCTTTGGCTTCTAGAACCACAGAACTCTGCCTGCTCTGGGACAGCCCCAGGGAGGCGGCAATGGCTCTGGACTAGGCAAGGCCTCTCCAGTAAAAGAAGAGAGACTCTTTTCTCTCCTCCCTCAAAACGTGGGCATTTCATGAGGGAGCAATAAAAAAAATTTACAGGCAAACAAACCTAACAACACATTCACATGGTAAAAAACATGATGTTATGTGTGACTGAACCAAAAACCAAAACGATCAGCAAACACACCACGGTCCAATATTTTGAAGGCTTGGTAACCAGTAAAGCACATTTCCTTTCAAAGGATCATGAACTTCCAGGCACTTATCTGGCTGTACATTCTCTTTGACCTCTGCATAATACTTAAAGTGCAATTGTCCCAAGGCTTTTGTTTCCGTCGCAAGTATCATAAAGAACGAGCCGTGTTTTGGGCGGAGGAGATATGGCACAAGAAATAAGAAAGAACTCATGGCTTTCACAGCCTCTGGCCAACGGCAGGCGGCCGCAGAGCTGCACGCAGATGGACTTTATACAACAAACTCCGGAACCTCATCGTGAGTGAGATCCAGAGAAAAGTATTTGCTGGTTCTTTTGACTGGAAAAGCATCTTGGATGTTGACACACTGCTGAGCCAAGCAGCTGTTGCAGTAGAGGCCTTCTTCATCCAGTTCATGGCCACATCCGAAAGTGTAGCTCTGAGCAGTGTCTTGACACAAGCCTGCGATGCGCAGGAAGTCTTTCTGGTAAAGTCTGATGTCATCGAGGCTCAAGCTATGTCGATCGGTGGAGGTCTTTGGTTTTCGACATATAGTCTGCAAAACAAAGGAAGGCTGAAACAACTGCAAGAGTACAGGCTCAAGTGAAAGGTCAGCAATATTTGCCCTGTAAAGAGAGGCTGCAAAATTATGTGCAGGGTTAAGGAATCCCTGTATGTTAGACAGGCTTCCAATCTCAGGTACCTGGCCCCCTGAGAAGAAAAATATCCCCACCGCCAATAACAGTAATAGCAGCTATATTTACTGGGTGTTTATTATGCGGCAGGCCCTGATACAAACACACTACATGCATTATCAACTCATTTAATCTCCCTATTAGCCCTATGAGTCCCGTGCTATTTTCCCCATTTTACAGATGCATAATCCAAGGCACAGAGAAGTAAACTCAACAGGAATCCAACCATCTCTGGCATCTCAGAAATGAAGCAATTGTCTTAAAATAAGGCTGTATAGAAAAGATAGTGTTTCTTTGTTTTTTTCACTGAGATACGGCAGTTCAGTGCAGCAGCACTTTCATGCCGAGGTCTATTATTATAAGAAATGGGAAAACAAACCAATTATTACTCAAGAAACACAGATCGAAGAACTATTTTTTTAAAAGGCCAGAATTCTTGGGTAGAAAAATGACCTGAAGCGTTCTTGGTGCGGCGAAGGCTGGTAAGCAAGCGCCAGGACCAAGAGGCAGCTCTGGAACACTGCACGGGGCCCAGTTCTGCCAAATGCTTCACACAGCAGGTAGCAGACTTTTGGAACTGTTATCCCAAGAGGTGGTACTGGCTGAACATATAAATAGGCTGCAAAATAGCTCAGCTAATTACATAAATGGAAGATACTAAATGGGTTGTTTATAGAAACGAGATATTATATCTCTAACTTATGCTGCTGACCACCACAAAGGCCAAACCTGCCAGAATTAAGAGGCAAAAGTACCAGGAGAGAACAGGGTCTGAGTCCAAGAGTATTTTAGTGGGAAGTGTCCCATCAGCGCACTCCCTAAAGATGACAGTCCCCTGTACTGATGTGGCCCTCCCAGGCGCCCACGTGCTTCCACACGGAGAATTCATTAGGTCATCACCACGAATCCTCAAGGCAGGCACACAAATGCTCTCCCTTTGTAGGTAAGGACTCTGACCCTTAGCTGTGCCCCACGAACGTTTATGTACAATAAGAGCGAACACATAGTGTCCTAGCAGGATGCAAACCCAGGCAGCTGGAGCCTGGAGCTCGTCCACCTAATCGTCATGCTACATACACAGCTTTAAAAGTCACTCATTGGAGTTTTCAGAAAATATTTAATTAAGTGTCATTTCACATTATGACTACTAAAATGGGAGAGTAAGAAAGGGCAAGTCGGGGGGTGTGGGGGAGATAGTACGCAAAGACTGCCGGAATATGAGAGAGAAAAAAAATAATAATAAAAGAAACACACAGGAAGAAAAAAAAAGAGAGTGAGAGAGAACCCAAGAAAGAGAGACATAAAGGAGCAATAGAGAGTGCTCAGAAAATAGAGATGAATATATGTTGTACGTTATATCCAAATGCTGCAACCATGAGTATTAGATTGTTAATTTATCTATATCTTTTGACATTTTAACAGCCTAACCAGTGAACACAGGTTACCAAATACTCTCCCTTTGAAAATTTACCCTGAATGAAAGAATCAGAGCGTGGAAACACTTCTACACAGCACAGCTGACAGGTTGTGGCGAGTCAGCGCATATGCACACAGAATCGACCTGAAGTCTGAGCACTAGGGCTTCCCACCCACAGAGTGTGAAACGAAGTACATAATTTACCCCAAAACCAAATCAACTCAAAAGTAAGTGGAACTAGCAAATAAAATGGAAGTGAACTCAGCATAAAACTGTAATGTATGTCTCTGGTAAGAACCATTTCCTCAGGATTTTTAATTTTTGCCTCTTTATATAAATATAAATGTTAAGTTCCTATTTAAAATGTTCAGTTCCTTCCATACCTGTGGAAGAGAATCGGTACTCTGGCCACGAAGTTTGACAACTGTTTCTGAGGAGCTGGAGGTGGAAGAACCGATTTCTTTCACAATCAGCCCTAAAGTAAAACAGAAAAAAAAACCAAAGACTTCAAATTATTCATACCTCTTGCCACATATCTGAAATATATTACTACTACTAAGAATGAAAGGTCAAATATTAATCATTATTGGAAACTCTCACTGTGACTCTTTGGTGGTAGACAACACCGTCTATCTCATATCTTACAGTAAATCGGGGGTGGGGGGAGATGAATGTAGGAAGTAGTTTAGAGCCTGAATTTTCTAGAATAAATTTCTAATTAATGATGAAGTTAGTAGTAAAACCAAACACTGTAGGTGTAAAGCAGTCTCTTCATTACACCTCCTAAAGTTTTCCCACTTTTCAGACAACACTAACTTTGAATGTAACCCCACCTGAACAGTGACGGAGCCTTCCAGGTTTGGTTCCACTTGGACGTGCAGTGGGTAAGTGTGGGGGCTCTGGCCTCTGGGGTCACACAGATCTGGGCTGGAACTCGGACGGATATGGAATTAACTACACATCCTAGCCGGTTACTTAGCCGCCCTGTGTCTCAGTCTCCTCCTCCTATAAAGGGCGCTCTCCATAGAGTTTTATGATGATTGAAGGGCACGTGCTTGAAAAGGGCGAGGCACAGGGCCTGTGTATGCAACACGCTTGGTTCACGGAAGCTCTTCTTGGCTGACAGGAACGCTGTGGCCCATACCTCCCGCAGCCAACCCCACTCACTGGTAAGAGGCTGAAAGGGGACGCCACAGTGAAGACCCAATCTGGATCTCTAAGATCAACAGGGTCCCTAATCACCCCAGGGCTCAGGGGCAACCTGCTGATATTTGGAAACAGAAATCCAGGGCTGACACTTTCTTATGAGACTGTGGCATGTGAGTGAAGCATCCCCAAGAAATGCTTCAGAAGGTAAAACTGCCAACAAGAACTGGAGATATAAGGGGAGATCACTGATATTTTTCTTGCAAGTAGATAAAGCTAGTGAGTAGGTCAAGTCCTAGGTCCTTAGGGCCAAATAGCTTAAGTACCATCCCACCTTATTAAAAAAACCCCTATGAGTAATGTGGTTTTTATTCAGCCACTGCTAGTAACCTACAGAAATAACTTTCTGTATTATTTTCCCTTACACCCCCTTCCCACAGGCACTTTGGTGTACATTGTTTTAGGTGCTTGCACTTGCGCACACGCACGTGCACACACATAAGCGAGAATGTGCTGGGAAAAATGGGCAAAAAAAGGGGTGAAGCTGGGTATAAGAACTCTAAGCATGACCAGAGCACCAGCCTGCTGAATCTTTGCTGGTCAGGCAGAGCGATTCTCCTCCACCGCCGGTGGGTCTGCTCCTGGCAGAGCATCTGCAGGCCATGGTTCTGCTGCGCTAGCAACTGGAATTCGGCAATAAAAGGTCCCTCACGCTCTTGCAGAGTAAGAGCCAGGATGGTGCCGGCTGCGTGCTGGCCTTACTCACCGCCCCTGCGCATGGCAGAGGCTCGCCATCAGGGACTGGGGGTCTTGACAGGGCAGTGGCAGTCACTCCGGTCCTAACAGGGTCTCTCACTCAGTCAAAGCTTTGAGTGGCCTAACAACAAGCACCTGGGCCATTCAATAGTACTGTTCCTAAGGCATCTTTCTCTAAAGAACAGAGGCGAATTCGTGACGTGTGACAAAAACAGAAGTAACTGAGGTTTAAAAACAAAACCTCTGTTGCTATTTTTTTAGGATAACATCTTTCATTTGATGGAACTAAATATTATACTATATTCTGTAACATTATAGAACCCTATACTAGGGTTACGGTGAATGGATGTTTTCTAGAATTCATCAAACATGGAATATAAAAGTGCCTTTTTATGTCAATCTTTTTGATACTTTTTCCTCCAGATTCCTGTACCTTGTGAAATATACTGGGGAAAACAAAACAGATACACCTGGGGACCTGACCTCTTTCCAGCCATGCAGCATCTGTCCTCTCTAATCTATAGGGTTTCTCATCTGTGAAAAGGAGGAGGCTGGTCTAAAGGGTCTCCAAGGACCCTTCCAGATGTATGATTTCCTGATTATCATTTAAAATAGCACAGGAGAAAGAACTCTATATTACACCTTTATCCAGAGCAAGGGGTAGAAGATGCCACTCCCCAATCCCGGGGGCCTCTCCCCCTTCCCTTTCCTTCCCTCCACAGGAGGCACTCCATCCTGCTGTTCATGACACTGACTTGGAAAGGCTCTAATTCCAGTCCTGTCTCTGACCCAGTCCCACCCCTTCTATTTTTGCTTCTCATGGACAATCACTAGCTAAGAAGAACTTCCCATGAGAGCTCACCAGAGTGTCCATTCAGCTTCCGCGACAGGAGCATGTCCTCCGTGATGTAGATGCACATGTCTGGGCTGACCTCCAGGGACTCTTCGTTCATCTGCTCCAGGTCCCTGGGGTCATCAACCAACATCTCTATTTCTGCCACAGAAAAGGAAAAGACATGTAGTAACATAAAGGGTAATGGCCGTCATAATGAATAGCTACATGAGGGAGGTTATGTAATTATTCATACTTAAAAATAAATTGGGCTAATACGGCTCTACAACAGTCCACTCCAGGGACAATTCTCAACTAGATGCTATTTGTTTTCTTTTTCAAAGGACTCCTGTGTTATCTACAAGTCTTCTAATGGCACTATTTGACTGTTGATAATTGTTTACTCTTTAAGAAAGAAGAAAAATTGCACTATCACTCTGCAGTGACAGGGCAAAAGAGACCGAAGGGTCACCTGCCTAATGCCAAAGCAGACTGTTGACACAGAGAGTGAGGAGTTCATGAAGCTCCCCACTGCCCACAGCTGCCCACTCTCAGGGCAGTTAGTGACTCCATTAGAGACCCACATGAATCCTATAATAACCAAACATATGTTCTGCAGTTTTCCTTAATGGAGTCAGAATCTTCTCCCCAAACCTGAATGCTATAGCAATTATTTGAGGCAGAAAATAATAAAAAGGGTGCACACAAATGCCAAGTTTGGCTGATACAGGCTGTTGGTCTTGTCTCCTTTCCTTACCACAGAGTGAAACAGCCAGATGCTGCATTTATTTTATACTCCCTAGGGTTCTGGTGACATGGGAAGTATTTAAGAAATGCTAATTAATCAAATGGCCTGGACTCATATATATTTTTTCTTTTTTTGGTATAAGTTCAAGACATTTATGTTACCATCACTGAATCCAGTCTGTTGTCTTAATCGATGCTTATTTCAACTGGAAATCAGAAATGTGGACCCAAGGGCTGCAGGACTAACTTCTACTCCATATAAACCACTAAACTTAGAATCCACGAATGCACAACCATCCAACCCTGTGTGGCAAAGGATCATGACTACAGGGATGTTTTGTTCACAAACACAACCCAACCAAGTCATTGGGGAAGATGGCAAGATACCTCTTCCCCTCCTGCTACTTCTCAGATGTTCTGCTGACGTCAATTCTATGGACCTAATACCTGAGAAACAACTCGGAGAGAAGAGGCGGCACCGTTAGCTTGGGGTGCCTGGGGAAAAGGTTACCGTCGTCCTGGGAGTCCTCTTCCAGCCGGTCCTTGCCCCCGCTCTCCACCCCGGAGGTGTGCGAGCTGCCGTGGCTGGTCATGGAGCTGCAGGTCTTCAGCTTGCGGTGGACGGCACTGCCGGAGTAGCTGTCCTCGGGCCCCGCGTCCCGGGGCTTGGTGTCCGCCTCGATGCCCGAGGTGTGGGAACTGCTGTGGCTGGCGGTGGAGTGACGAGACAGGCGCTTATGCTTCACGCTGCCCGCGCTGCTCCCGCTGGCCCGGGACCGCTTTTCCAGCTGGTCCATGTCAAGGTCCAGGTTGTCGCTGATGTAGGACTCCCGGTACTGCTTCTTCTCTGGGGGGGGGAGCACAGCTCATCACTACGGTCACCCCAGAGAGAAGGGCCGGCTGGGGAGCTTAAGGGGGTCAGTCATCAGGCCCGAACAAGGACAATTTCACACTCAGAATCTAGCGGCTGGAAAGTGGTTCTAATTCTCACAGGCTCTCCACTTAAGAACACTGAAAAGTGAGTAAAAACCAGGACGACACATTTGAGGGGAGCACTTGAACCACCAGGGCGTTCTGAAGCTTCTAAGGCCAGGGAAGGATGCTATCGACCACCTCTGGTCAGCAAACTGCTCCTGGTGCACAGTGAAATAAGTTCGGTAACTGAGAATAAACACTTAGAAAGTTTTAGAGCAATCTGACACTGTCATGGCAGCCACTAGTGTGACTTTGCATTTTGCAGAAGTATCAGTCCACAGTGGATCAGAAATTTTAAAAGCCCGGTCCTTCCCCACCCCCCGGACAATTTCAGAAGCACCGCTCTAGGAGACTGTTGAATAAACCTACTGTGCTAACTGCCGTTCGTTTTATTTGTTCCTTTGGTCCATTGTTTGCTTAGCTCTGTTGAATATGATTTAAAATAAAACTATTCTTTTGAGAATTTCTTTCAAAGAATTCCGAAATTTAGACTTACACTGGTGAAGGCTGCTTTTCTCCATGAAGGCTGAATTAGTGAGGCTTTGTCATCTACTTAGAAAACACAGTAGTCACTAATGGTTTGCCATGTGGCCTCTGGCTGGTAAAAATGTTCTGTAACACGTCGGTGCTGTTCTTTAAGGCAGACACACAATATTGGAAAGTCCCTTTTATCAAATGCTAAACCAGCCATTATACTAAGGCACCAAGTTACAACTGGGGTGCAGGGGTAGAACTGACACAAAAACGTCAGAAATTTAAAACAAAAAAATAGTTGAGCCTCCTTATATTTTTAATACGGATAAGAAATAGCTCATTAGAAGAATGCTAAAAATGGAGAGAGCATTTGGGGAACGTTAGGTTGATATTATCTCAGAAACTGCTAACGAGGAGACTAATTGGGTTCTCAGGGGGCTGAAATGGATTTAATTGTCTTGTTTCTCAAGTAAAAACACTTGCACTGTGGATGTCTGAATCCAGCTCTGAAGTGCAATTGCCACAGGATCCTGAGAGGGAACGAGCATCAGCAGAAAGAGAAGATGGTGTGCTTTCCTGGAGGCATACTAGGAAAAATGCTTGGAGAAGGGCGAGTGTGATTTCTGGGCTCCGGCCCCTTCATGCCAGTTCTAAGGAATTGGGCTAAAACACAAAGGTGTGTGTGTGTAGCCACAGAGAAAGCAGCCTCGACAGGACATCAGAGCCCAACACACATCACTGAGAAAAAAGTGCATCCGATCCATTTTTAGGGCAGGACAGGGTTCTAATGATTCCTGTCTTCTGAAGGCAACAGGGGTCAAAATGAAGATGAGAGCTTTATAAAAGCACCTGCAAAATTCTCATACAATTTCTATTTACTGTAGTTTGAAAATAATAGATAGTCAGTGACCCCTGGAAGAGTGGCAAGTGAAGAAAAAAAGAAAAACAGTAAAAAAAAAAAACACCAAGAAAAAAAAGGAAAAGTTTGTATAGGGTGTCAGAGTTCTAAGACGATTGGGAATTGTGGATCTAATCATTTAAAGGCTTTACTACCTCTTTACAAATAGTCCTTTTAATCCCAGCTTCCTGGAGGCTTTGGAGCCGATCCTAGCCGTCTGTGCTCAGGAGTCCACTCCCTGGACGACAGGCACTCGCCGCCTGCTTTCCTCCTGACAGCCCAGTGTAAACCTACTTGCCGTCAGTGTGCGGCAGCCCTGGTGCTCCACTGGCTGGCTTCTGTCCCCTTCACAGTGAGTACTGCATCACTCAGACCCTCAGCAAACCTTTAAGAAGCTTCACACCACTCAGTCACAAACTGAGGGAAATGCTGAAATAATGCGGACATTTATTCTGAGAGATGCAAAATGCACCAGATGCAACCTCTCATCCCCCGAGTAATCTCTGGTGTCAACAGCGCAGGCGGTCCACATGCCCGTGTTCTGCTATTACTTCTGTGCTAAAAGCTCAGAGACCACAGGTGTTCACACATTATTTTAGCATATATGCAGTCGATGTGACTTCGGGATATATGACTTAAGAATAAGCTCCAGCTACCGAATAAAGTTGGGTTAAAATGTTTTTAATGACAAAGGCATTTCTTCCCTTCTAAATACTATGGGAGAATTCTTGTGATCATTTTCTACTACAAAATGCTAAAATAGTATTTCAGACAAGGTGACTCTAAGTTAAATTTAATTAAGAAAAATAAGATTCTTTTTGAAGATCCAGCTTACAGCTTTTTCATTCCTTCATCGCCCTACATACATAAGCCCCAAATGCACCTGGTACTATGCTGAGTCGTCTACCTTAGACTACCCTATGGTTCGTGTTCATTAATTTTTATGGGCTCTAAAGAGCTCCTCCTGAAGTCACCTAAACAAGAATTTACTAAAATGCTGCTGGTAGAGGAGAGCTGGGGGAATAAATGAACTTCTCAAGGCACCAATTAGGAATGAGACTGACTTGGCAAATGATGGGCTCTGAACCTAATGAAGCTGCCTACCTACTCTCGCAAGTTTCCTTGGCACTCTTTCCCGTCTGAATTCTTCATAGTCATGTCAGTGTCGGAGAGATATATTTGTGATACCTATGAGTCACCGCGGGGAAGAACTGGCAGTCTGGCAGCGGAGGAAGCCAATACACCTGACACTTTTACCCATTCTCTCAGAAGACAGATGCAGCTTGGTGGCAGACAGGGAGATGATTCATGTTCTGATAGTTACTTAAATTACAATGACAGCTCCAAACTGGGTCTCATTTAGATAGGGACAGCTTTGGAAAGGTATCTATCAGATGTGCACACCTCTATCAGGTTTTTAGCTTGTTAAGAGTGAACTGGTATTTGCCTTGTTTCTGTGGGAAAGGTGGGGTCTGAGAGGTGATTGTTTCAGACACGGACCTAAGATATGAACCCGCATCCTAATGATCATGCAAATCCCTAAAATCTACTGATCTGATCAAATTACCAAGAATTAGAGCAACATAAATTTGCAAAGTAAACTAAAGACATTAAAAAAAATAAACAAATATGCAAAGTCACATTTTGGGAGATGAGAAGTTGGGAGTGTTAAATGGAATAACCCCAAGTGGCACAACTGAAGACAAAGAGCCAGCCATGAGTTTATTATTGTAAAGTGGGAGCCTGCTCTTAGGGGCCCTAAGCAGGCTGCTCTATTCTGTCTGTGTCTCAGCCAAGCCCCCACAGAACTGGCTAATAAAAATCCTCAAATGAAAATTTCTCTCTCCTTTGTCATTCTTCCTAAGACGGACTTGGGGACCTCCCTGCAGGCAATCCGAGACACTCAAGCCATTTCTGTGACCCACTTCACTGGAAGGAATTTCAGATCACTTGCAGATAATAGAACCAAGGTGGATCAGTGTACATACAGAGCTCTAAGATGCAGATAACCCTGCGCCTGCACCTTCACGTAGTGGCTTTTTGCAAGGATTTTTAAGCCGAGCATGAGATAATTTAAAGAGACAGTACTCAAGGGGTAGCTAAGTGACAGGGATAACCTGGGCTATTTGGGATGGGTACAGCTGGTGGCGTCCAAGCTATCCCTTGCCTCTGGGAACGTTGCTGAGATATAAGCAGAAATGCTACACTAAATCTGAGAGGCCCAGCCCCCAAATCCCAGCCTGCAGGCGCCCAAAGCCCAGCTCATGGCAGCTGTGGAGTAAGGGTCCCCGGTGGCAAAGGCAGCATCTGCTTCCCCATCAAAGAGCCCGTGATACCTTCGTTTTCCTCCAGCTTCCGGATGTGGCGCAGGACGGGCTGCAGGTTCATGTAGAGGCGGTGGCTGTTGCTCAGGAGCTGCAGGAGGTGCCGGGAGCGCATGGGGCACCCCGTGTAGTAAATGAGCTTCCTGGCCGAGGGCAAGCCATCTGGCAAAATCTCAAATTTCTTACCCTGGGGAGGGAAAGAACAAATCACATCCGGGAAGAAAAGTCTCTGATTTACCCAGGTCTCCTTCGTTTTCTATTTATTAAGGAAAGCAACAGATTCAGAAATAGATATGCAGAAGGGCCTTGGATGACGTCATTTCATCACAACATTGACAAGATGCTGTGGGAACCTAACTCTTGTTTCTATCAATTAGCCTATAGCAACATTGGTTTTGTCATATGTCATTTTGCTTAAAGTCACTGAACCTATTGATGGCTTTGAGGACTTGCTGTATAAAGCTCCATTCAAACTTGGCTGAGGCATAAATTACTGTGTTCTCTTTCAAAACTGCCACAGATAGAGGATTACCCAAAATTCAGGAGAGTGTCTAGCAACTGTCTGTTGGTAATCACTGGCTGAGTATGACAGCTGAGGACTATCTTCAGTTTCTCTGGCTGGTCAAGCCATTTATATTATGGAGGAGAGAAGGGCCCATCATGACAGCATCCTCAAATGCAATCCCAGCACCTTAACTCAGCAAACCAATTCCAGAAACGGAATGCATTCAAATACCTGTGAAACGCGTGCCACGGACCAAACCGTGTGCCAGACAGAAACTGAGAAAATAAGTGACTAGAACAGACAAGGTCCCCACCCTCCTGGAGACACATTCTGGTGGGACAGATGGTAAATTAACACATAGAATAATTATAGTTTAGGATAAATTCTGGGAAGGAAATAGAATTATGATAGTGGAAAATACTGGATACCTATTTAGGGGTTAGAAAAAATATAAAACCTCTCTGGCTGGGAAAAGAGGGAGCTGGAAGCTAGAGGGATGGCGAGAGGGATGGTGAGAGGGATGGGACAGGAAAGAGAAAGAAGAGATGTAAGTAGTATCAAGTATCTATCAAAAGAGATATAAGGAGTCACATGTTTTTAAGTCTGGGGTCATTAACATAAAGTTCACAGTTGAGGGTGAGTTTGGCAGAGTTTCTTACAGTTATAGGATATTTTGAATTTCTTTCACTTTCCTAATAATGAATAAGGCTGCAGAACTAGGAGAAGGAATATTCCAGACAAAATGATTCTCAGCCAGAGGGGAGAAGTGAAGCAAAGAGGGAGGCACAGTCTAACCTGAAGTCAGTACAAAGCAGGGGTTTATGTAACTCAGGTAGGGATGGAATTTTTCACCTCTGAGTTCACTAAGCAGCTCATTCATCCTCGCAGTAAGGCCATCGGGGAGGGCCAATTATCCCCATTTTGAAATGAAGAAACCAAGGCACAGAGGTTAAGCAATTTGCTCAAGGTCACACAGCTAGGCAGGGCTGGGCTGGCTGCGAAAAGACTCATCTGGGAAGTCTGTCAACCCATGGCCACTGAATCAAAAATCTCTAGGACAGGAGGACGCGGCACAAAAACCTGTATCTCCAACAAGCTCCTCAAGACGTGTCTGACGCAAACTAGATTCAGGGACCACTGAGTCCAGGACCCTTAAAACACTCAATTTCATAAATGCATTTTATTACTACTTAATGTGGGACACGAGAGGAGCAAGTATGGTAATAATTTGCTCATTTTCAAACACCTCAGATCCTTTCACAAAGAGCTGGAACAAAAGAGAGCCAGCAGGGAGGAGGCAGGTCAGGCTCCACTTAATGTCTGAGTAAAGTGAATCAGATTGAACTGTGCCCAAGCAATTAAAGTAATGTAAAGTCAGGAGCAGGTCTTCTGACTCACAGGGCAGTGTGGAATCTGTGCCCAGTGCTATCTGGCAATACGGCCCTTTCTTTACAGAGGCCATCTTCCTCATGGGACAGGCCCATGTGCACAAGTCCTTGTCTTCCCCCTTTCTTTGTGTATTTTTTCAATAGTTTCTGAATAAAGAAAAACTGTGGATTTTAATGACTACTAGACAGGCACACTATTAACTGTAATTCTTTGAACCCTACTAAAATATGGATATAGCTGACAAAGAAAAGAAACAGCTGGAAAAGTCATGAATTTGCTCTACCCAAAAAAAAAAAAAGTGTACCATTCTCAATATCCTAAAAGTAAAAGTGTTTTTCCCGTTAAGAACTCTAGACCTTTCTTTATAATGATGAGTTTCAAAGAGTCAGATATTAATAGAAACATCTTTTTATATTACTCTTTATTCTTTGCTCAAAAGAAGTAACTTCCAAAAGAATTGGCCGGCCCCCGCACTAAGAGTAACTTACCCTGTGATTACCACTTTCTGTTTTCTAATCCCTCCACTGTATGCTTTTAAAATAATTCTATTTGAATGAACTCATCTTGTACTTTTCTTACTACATTTATTCTGTGAGTAGAATAACTTAGGGTGGTGTGGTAGAGACCAGATACACAAATTAAATTAGTAATTTATTTGCTATAAGATTCTTTAATTTTAGGTTCACTACTGACAAGTGACAAGGATTATAGCACATGCATAAGAATATAAGAAAGCTAATTATCTTCATCATCAACTTTTAAAGCCTATCAACTTTTGTGCCTGGGACAATATTGTTTTAAGAAACAAGAAACAACAAAAATACAAAAACCCACAAATAAGTTGAATAATTTATTTTAGTCAGTTATTTTAAACTTACCACAAACACCAGCTTTCCAACATTCGTCCAGGGGAAATCATAAAGTAATTGTTTCTCTTCATCTAAATTCTGTGGGAAGAATTATAATGCATATGGAGTTACTGATGAAACTGACAGACACTGAAATGGCTCTAATTTATCTCCCAGAAAGTGAAAACCCATTAATTAAAATCTGAAAGAGGTCCTCAACTCTCTCTGGAGATGCGCAGACAGTAATTAAAAGATTAGCGATACAATTCTGTAGCTTCTGGTTCCTGAGTGACTGCATCATTAACGGGCCCTTTTAAGGCAAGCTTTCCTCTCTTGGCCTATCCGTAAATTTAAATAAAAAGTCCAAAGACTCAGGCATTCAAGAGATGAGATAAGGTGCTCAGGCTTTCACAGCTGGGTATTTGGCCTACATCCAAGAGAAGACATCCTTAGATTCTCCTAGGTCTCCTAGGTCTCCTAGGGGCCTTTACTTCCCCTCATTGATGGCTGTAGCAGAGCACCATCCCACCTATTTATTCAAGGGACAGCTTCATCAGAAAAGTGTGATGGAAATTAAAACGTCGGCTCAGGCACTGTATTAATACGTCATCTCTACACAGTTATAAATGCTCCAGAGGACAAAAGAGTGCACTGAAAACCAATGACACAGACCAAAAAAATGTCTGGACATTAACGATCTATTGGTGATGAATGTGGGCTGATCTTTGGCTTTTTGTTTTCTGTTCTAAAGGACTTGTTACTACAAGGTTTCGGCTGCATCGCTCCGTCCATCTCACATCATCCACATGTGCGCTGGATGCAGGAAACAGGGGCAATCCCTGCCATGGAAGGACCGGCGGACCCATCCCAGGACCACACAGGCACCCGGCCAGCGTGAGAGAGAGTAGGCACCACTGGACACTCATTTCCCTCAGTTACTAACCTGGAAAATCTGTATTCCCCGCATGGTCAGTCCAAGGGTCAGAGAAGCTTCAATTTCCCTTTTATCCTGTAGGAATAAAATTTTATGAAGAAGTATATTTTTCTTCTATAATGGACAATTCAGCACCAAACAAAAGAAAGACAAAGAGAAATTTCAGAACTGGAAAGTTTTTGACTTGAAATAACTTCGCTCTTGCCTTTTGCATCCCTAGTTTCCTACAAGCTTTAAGGAAATCATAAGCTCTGGCCAGTGTGGCTCAGTTGGGTGAGCGTCCTCCGGTGCACCAAGAGGTTGTTGGTTCAGTTCCCGGTCAGGGCACATGCCCCCATTGCCCACTTGATCCCTGGTCGGGGTGGGTAAGGGAGGCAACTGATTGATGTTTCTCTCTTACGTCAATGTTTCTCTCTCCCCCCCCTTCCTTCCTCTCTCTAAAAGATCAATTGAAAAAAGAAAGAAAAAAGAAAAAAAGAAAAGAAAATCATGAGCACGTGGCAAATCAATGATGGTCTATTCTACATTTTTAAATCCTTGAGATTTAAAAGCATCAGTGTTTTCACTATATTCAATATACTTTCATATCTAACAACATTCTAAATACTTATGTTCTTGAGAACTTCAGTAAATAAGACAATTTTTGCAGCGTTTGCATTTTTTTTTTTTTTTTTTTTTACCTCCTGCCTTATACTTAACCTTCTCTCAGATCTTAGAATCTTGACTCTAATGTGATAGTTAAATTCTGAGATGCACCAGGCTTTATATGTTTCAAACTGGGTAACTCTCCCAGCTCAGAAGCTAAAAATAGAGGCAAGCCTAAATATTTATGGGCTTCTCATGCAGACAGATAATAAAGCTGTAAAAATTTTATATTCAGTTAGTTTTTTTAAAAAGTACTTATTTTGAAAATGTTCAATTATTACTTGCCAAAATGATATACAGTCTACCAGCTAAACCATAAACTGTTAAAAATAAAATACAACTACATAAGGAAAAAAATTCTACCATTAAGAATGTACTCAGAGAATCGGCCAAATCTTTTAAGTGTGCATCTGTAACAGTGAATATAAACGATAAACTTTAAAATGAGACATAAAATTACTAAGTAAACTATTTTCATTATGAAATTTCTCAGTAAAAACAATAAATATGTACTCATGTTTATTACGTTTGGTGCCAGTTTCTCCGTGAACATGGTAAAAATATTTTTTGAAAATGCACCTCACCACCAGGCACAGAAAACAGAAGACATAGCCTGATTTTACTGTTTGGGTTGTTTTTTCCAACCAATATATTTTTACAACAAGAAAGGAACATATTTATAAGAGAAACCAATCCATCACTAGTTTAGGCCAATTTCCTTTTCAAGGCTGTTCTGATTGCTTCCTGAAATCAGACTGTGCTCATAAAAATGCTGGTTGTGCGTGTATGAGGTGTGCAGTACTGGAAAAGAGGCACAGAATTTTATCTTTTTCAGCATGTTTCCTGTCCTCCATCTACCTTATTTCCATTTTGTAACCAGGCCTTAAATGAAGCAGTTTTAGTGGCTGCCACTTGACTTCTCCAAGGAATGAAAACTCTGCCCATTAGGTGACAATATCTATTTCCTCACTTCATTCAGTTACATTACTATGATTAATTATCTCATTTTAAGAAGACAAGAGTCATTTTCCATGCCATGTAGAAGTACTGCACTTTAAGTAAATTTGAAAGATTAATTTTTACACAAAAGATAAATTGAGGATGTCTACTTCACTAAATGATTCTTAAAAGGGCTTTTAAAAATTGATTTTTAGAGAAAGAGAGGAAGGGGGATGAGGAAGGGGGGGAGAGAAAGGGAGGGGAAGAGAGAGGGAGAGAGACATGGGTTTGTTCCACTTATTTCTGCACTCATTGGTTGATTCTTGCATGTGCCCTGACCAGGGATCAAACCCGTAACTTTGATGTATCAGGACACCGCTCTAACCACCTGAGCTACCTGGCCGGGGTGAATAGGATTTTTTTTAAATACTAAATTTCCCTATCAAATAAGAATCACTGATGTACCAGGCACTCTACCTGGTTATTTCAGATTCATTATCTCACAGAACTTCCCCAACCTCAGAAATATATAGAATCATTCCCACTTAATAGATGGCCCAGAATTATAGTTATGTTTGCTTGGGGTCCTAGCAATAATCAGTGGTAATACAGGGTTTCTAACTGACATCTGATTCCAAAGCCATACTCTTTTCAAGGCACCATTGATACTTCACACATTTTAAAATCCTACACTGATTGTCAAAAATGTCTTTATTTGCATTTCTTCCTATAAATTAAGTGTCACAAATAAAATTTCTTAAGGAAAAAAAAAATACCGATTCAGTCCTTTAGGAATTTAGCCGAAGAGATTTTATGGAACTCAGCTGAGCCTTTCATGGGTGACAGGGCGTTAACAATGGACCTCTTGGGCGTGGAAGAGAAAAAACATACCATCCTTTGGTCCCTTGCTGAGTTTTCTGAACCAGGCAGGATGATCAGCAGAATATCCCAACTATAGACCCGTGTCCAACGCTCCAGTTATGCTAATCTTACCATTACGAGTGCGGCAGTGGTGACGGTAAGAACCGCTTCAAGCGCTTTTCATCCACTACCCTTTCGGTCTTCAGTGAGCCTCAGAGGCAGGCATGTGACCAGCCCCATCTAACTTCGGGGAAGTTAAGCAAGTTGCCTAAGGCCACATGGTGAGAGGTCAGAGGAGTCAATCCCACAAGTCAGGCCCAAGAGACCACTCTCTGAACCACGCAGTATCCGATTCGGTTCGAGAATATACCTCTGAATATGTTACTGGGAATTCAGGAGTGAAAAATGGCAAGGAGAGGGGAGGGGAGACAGGAGATGATCAACAGTAGTGCGAGTGATTCCCTGCAGAGCCTGGCCCCCAACGGTTATTTGGGAGCGTGACCTCTGACCCCTGAAACAATGAGGCTAAGGGATACACAAGACACAAAAGAGAGTGACAAACATCAGAGAGAGAGGGAAGCGCAGAGTTCGGTGGTGAAAGCGCACAGGCTCTGTCTTCAAATGGACCCGGGTTGAATCCTGGCTCCGCCACTTACTAGCTGTGTGGTCCTTAGTCTGCTTCCTTGTCTGTAAAATGATTATAGTTCCTATCCTACAGAGTTGTGAGGAATAAATTTAAAAAAGAGTAAAAATAAACATAGGACTCAACAAACACTAGCTGTCTTGGTGACACTCTTGTCATTAATGGATACGATGCAGGCAGGACTTCGCTTGGAGGAATATTAAAAACTACCGATCAAAGAAGCTGCCAACGTTACTCCCCGAGACAGAGATGCAGATCCGGGGAGGAGAAAAGGAACTATTTCTTATCACCGAAAAGCCAGATCACAATATGCGGCCACGTGTTACTGCAACATCAGAACCTGCGCCCAGGCCCGAGGAAAGGCATCACCCACTCCGAGGCTGGCCTGCGGTGACAAACGGCGGGTCGCAGGAATCTCTTTTAAAGCCCCTTAAAAGGTGAAATGAGAAGTGAAAGCTCCTTGTGCTGGAGAAGGAGGTTTCCCCGAAGCCGAGAACGCGCTGCAGCTTTGTACCTTGTACAGTCGGTAGTAGTGGACAGCGACGTCGTCCAGCCGCACGGCCTCTTTGATGTACTTAAGATGAGCCTCGGAGGCGGTCAGGGCAAACTGATCTTTGTGCATGTTCGGAATGTGCTTCAGGATGTAGTCCTTCCCTCGCTTGGAAACAACCTGTTGGAATACAACGGGCGTGCAATGCGGCGTCTGTGTGTGGGGGGGGGGGAATGCCCTCACCCGCAAGCGACTGAATGACAAGGACCTAAAATAAGCCACAGACACGAGCTGATAACCCGCTAGAAAATTCCCCCTTTACTCTGTTCTCACCATTGGTTATGTTACTAGGCTGAATCAGCTAATACTAAAAGCGACAGTCAATTTAGCTGTAGTTCTGAATATCTAACAAGAAAAATCACAAGAAATGGGAAAAAGATGTTCTCTTGGCTTTAATCTCACCAAGAATCAAAAGAAGAAAAAAACAAACCAAAAACAAAACCATGCAAACTTGCAAATTTTTGTACACATCATTGCTTATTCTTGTAAAATTATTGGTACCATGAAATACATCTCCTGTCAGCACATCTTCAGGTTCTGGATCCCACTTAACTCTTCTAAAATCACAGTCACAGAGTGGGAGGTACTAAATGTTTAATCCAAAGAAGGCAGGGGACTGTAAGACATTCTCTGAAACGTGCGGTTTTTGCATAAGAGGCTGATATGAACAGCCGATTTGAATACTTATGAGCAAACAATTTCTTTCATACATTCACTGTGGCTTATATTTTCATCAGATAGTAGCCTGAATGTTTAGATGTCAAAAATACACAGTATCCAGCAGCTGCAGGCTAAGAGGTGTTGATTAAATATCCTACCTGATTTCATAAGGATTATAAAATGAGGAAAGAATTATGTAAAGGAAATAGGAGTACTGTTTAAAATCATCAGAATGAAAAAAATTAGAGAATTTTTAGTTTTAAAATGTTTTTATAGATACTGACATTTTATTTCTTTCTATTGAATTAAACATGATAAATTACCGGCCAATTTTCAAGTTTTCCTGAGAACTCAAATTACAGATTTTTCTTTTAGATGCGCCTTTTACATAAAGATCATCCAAATCAGTACTTGTCGACCTTTTCAAGGTCAAAGAACACATAGAAAATAGTATTTGCAAGGGCAATGAAGTAATGGTTTTGGTGGTCCCATGTGTTGAAGGCACTGGTACCTGGGCACTCCGGATGCCAGGCACACTGATGGGAAGCTCTGATGTAAATGACCAAGGTTCAGTGAGTGCCTGGTAACAACTAGGGAATGTAAACGCAGGCTAATTTTGGCCCAACAGACATTGGTATGTAAAAGCTTGACACCTTTTGTGGTTTCTCTTCCAACAACTGAAGCACTGTCAATGAACTATCAACCAAAGCTTATATTGAGCACCTTAACATGAAGTGCTGAAGAAACAAAAAAGGTTACGTTTATGCCTGTCCTTTAGAACATACTAAGAAACACTAGCTGGGGGGGGGG